AAAAAAAAAAAAAAAAAAAAAAAAAAGAGCTTCTAAGAGGTGGCATAAAGCTTGAGTGAGTAGAGGTCATGCCCAGATTTTCAAATAGACAATATGAACTCTAAAGAATAATTCAACAACACGCTTATAATTTGGAAGATGTTAAAGTGTCAGTTTGGGCCTGAAAACTTCAAGATTGGTGCAGGATATTTTATTATCACATGCGAACAATTTGAAAACACAAAGGAAGGAAAGAGTAATTCTATAATTTCATTAAAAATATAAAATCAGCCAAATAAGAAACTGTTTGAAGAGAGGATAACTGGATAAAACATTATCCTGCTCCCTTGCCGCTCACAGCCCAGAGGCAAAGGTGGGCTAATAGACCCCAGTACGGTAAGTACCTTGGTAAATACTAAGCCTGGCACTGTACAAACCAGAGGAATTTTCCAGGGACGGTTTTCTGGAGGAGGAAGCTGCTAAACTAAAAGGATGTGATGGAGTGAGGCTGTCTAGGAGGCAGAGTGAGCAGGAAAGGCATGCCCAGGTGGGTGGTGGGAAAGAGTACATGACTCCCTGCTAGGGCGCAGGGATGAGACGGACTGGCGGGTGGAGGGGGAAGGATCAGGAGGGGACGTGTGAGGGTATCCGGTTGCTTTGACTTCACCCTATTGGTGGTGGGAAGTCACTGAAGAGTTTGAAGCTAAGGTGTTTCCCTTCATCTGGAATTTCTTCCAGGCCTTACTCTTGTGGGCTGCCTCTGTCCTTTCCCAGGTGCCCAGCTCTTCCTCAAGGACCCCTGTTCCAGCCCTGGAGGTGTTGGGGGAGGTGGGTAGTGCTCCTGGGAGGGCCCTGACTGGCGGGGCCTCCCTGTCCTAACCCCTGACCTTGCTCCCTGCTGTTCTGCTGCAGGGAAATACGGGAGTGCTCCTGGGCACGTTTCTGGTGTCCTTTGTCATCCTGGTGGCCCTCATCACCGTGCTGTCCGGCATCGGCGTTGGGGAGCACTGTGGTGTTGGCAGCGGTGGTGTCTACTCAATGATCTCCTCAGTCCTCGGCAGGCAGACCGGAGGCACGATTGGGCTACTGTACGTGTTTGGACAGGTGAGCCTGGGAGGCTGGGGCGGGGGAACTGTGCCCTGAGGCCATCGGCATGTGGGATCTGTTCCCTCGCTTGGCTGTTTGCCACCATCTTCTCATCCACGTTCCCATTTGATCTGGGGAGAGGCAAGTTGGGGCAATTGCCCCCATTTTATAGATGGGCAGACTGGGGCTCTGAGAGGGAACTCAGAGAGAGAGCTTAGCCCACTGTCCAGGGTCGTGACCCAGAATCCAGGGCTCCTTCCTTTCCACCTCTGGTGCCTCGTGGCATCCTGATTTGCCCAGGAAGGTGGGGCCTGGGCTGGAACTATTCTTGCTGCCCATTCTAGAGAGGGGAGTGCATGACAGTGGCCAGAGCCCGGGCAGCAGCTGGGTGGCCGAATCCTTGGGGGCACTTTTGTGCTGAAAAAGGGACATTTTACCTGTGCCAAAGGACTTTCCTGGAAGCGGGCACTTCTCAAATGAGTTGGAGCTCTGGGCTCATTGATGACTAGACGGCCTTGCAGAGGAGGCTGGAAGCTGTTTGTGGACGCCCTGTCGCAAAAGGATACTCATGAGGCCCGGTGCAGTGGGGTGGACACAGGCTCTGAGAAAACCAGGGAGCAGGGAGAAGCATTGGGGCTCACTTAGCTAAAACACAGGCACGGTGACCTAATGTGGAGGAAACAAAGACAGACATTAAGAAGCAGCTCTTTGTAAGCACTTCTTGGCTTGAGAAAGGCTTTTATGATGGTGCAAAGGGTGGTGGGTGGTTGAAAACACAGTTTCAAGAAAAGAATTTGTCTAAGTAAGGGTACAAGAGTCTCCTCAAAGACAGGATAGGTTTTGTTCTTTTCTTTTTCCTTTTTTTTTTCAGCAGCAGAAACAAGGTTATTTTAGTATAACTACATCTGATTCTCCAACAGCACAAGGGGTGTGTGTGTGTGTGTGTGTGTGTGTGTGTGTGTATGTGTGTGTGTGTGTGTGACATGCATGGAAGGCAGAGAGATTGTGTCGCTGCACTCTTAAAAACCACTTGCCTTTACTGGAGAAAGATCTTTAAGCTCAGTAGCTTGGGAGTGAGTAATAAATGGTTAGTTTACTGTATTACCATGGGGATTTATCTATCGATGTCTCACTTCTGTGCTGTCTCTTAGCCTGGTTGCAGCCCCACTCCCTGGGTAGGCAAGCTTACCTGTGGCAGCAGATATCATGACAGGGGACTAGCACCAAACTGGGGGCCAGCGGAAGGACCCCATAGATGTCATGTCTCCCGTGTGTGGGCTGCTTCGGAGGCAGGGTGTTCACAGAATAAGCGTTCTCTGTAGTTGCACCCAAACAGCCACCACATCGACACCCTCGCTCGCTTTGCTTGCTCTCCATTTGGGTCTCAGTGAGAAGCACTGGGGCCCCTCCAGCCCACGTCTTCAGCACGCCTCTCCATCGCCTGCAGCTGACCTGGGCTGGCTTCTCTGATCAGGGTGTGGGTGCTGCATAAGCCTTTTTATATGCTATTGGATTCAGTCTGCTAGGATTTTGTTGAGGGTTTGGGGTATGTATTTATGGGGAATATTGGTCTGTAGTTTTCTTGTGATCTCTTTGTCTAGTTTGGGTCTCCTGATAAAGCTGGCCTGATAGAATGAGTTGGGAGGTGTTCCCTCCTCTTCTACTTTTTGTAGAGTTTCTAAAGGATTGGTGTTAGCCCTTCTTTAAGTGTTTGGTAAAATTTAGTGGTGAAACCATCTGGTCGCTGGCTTTTCTTTGTAGGAAGTTTTTTGATAACTAATTCAGTCTCTTTACTTAGCTAGGCCTATTCTGATTTTCTATTTCTTCTTGAGTCAGTTTTTGTAGTTTGTGTCTTTCTAGAAATCTGTCCATTTTATCTCCGTTATTTAATTTATTCGTGTAAAATCATTCGTAGATTCCTTATAATCCTTCTAGTGTTTGTAAGATTGGTAGTAATGGCTTCCCTTCCATTCCTGATTTTAGTCATTTGAGACTTCACTCATTTTTTTTTTTTTTTTTAGTCAGTCTAGTTAAAGATTTGTCTGCAAAGAAGCAAGTTTTGGTTTTGTTGATTTTTCTGGGTTTTTTTTTTTTCCTAGTCTCCAATTTATTTTGGTTCCAGTCTTTACTATTTCCTTCCTCTTACTTCCTTTGGGTTTAGTTTGCTCTTCTTTTTCTAGTTTCTTAAGGTGGAAGCTTAGGTCACTGACTTGAGACCCTTCTTCTTCCAGGGTGTAGTTGGGGTTTCTGAGGGTCCCTATTCCTGGTTCTTACTGACCTCTAATCCCGTCATTCCAGGGCTTGAATACACTCATTTATTTTTAGTGATTGCCAGAGCAGATTGCCTGTTTGCCCTAGAGCAGGGATCAGCAGACTTCCATTATAAAGGGCCAGATAGTAAATATTTTAGTTTTTATGAGTCATACATCTCTGTCACAACTGTTCAATTCTGCTGTTATAGTTCAAAAGCAGCCACAGTCAATATGAAAAACTGGGCTTAGCTGTGTTCCAATAAAACTTTATTACCAAAACAGGCAGCAAGCAGAATTTGGCCAGCATGTGAAAGTTTGCTAACACTTGTTTCAGACATACAGATTGAGAAGATATAAGCCTGCCTAGCTGAGTCTGGGGGGCATGCAGCTCTTGATCTCAGGGTTGTGGGTTTGAGCCTCATATTGGGTGTAGAGATTACTTAAAAATAAAATCTTTAAAATATATGGAGGCTATAAACACTTAAAATAATCATTTTTAAAGCTTGCAAATCTTTTAATAGTCTGCATCCTCCCAAATCCTTCCCCATCATCTCTCTGAGGTGTTGGTGACCCCTTGGCCAGTGGAGGAAACCGTGAACTGGAGCCTCTCCTCACTCTCTGCCCCACTTACATGAAAAAAATTTTTAATGTTTTTTTTATTTTTGAGAGAGAGAGAGAGAGAGAGAGAGAGACAGACAGAGACAGAGTGCAAGTGGGGGAGTGGCAGAGAGAGACAGAGACAGAATCCAAAGCAGACTCCAGGCTCTGAGCTTTCAGCACAGAGCTTGACATGGGGCTTGAACCCACAAACTGTGAGATCATGACCTCAGCTGAAATTGGATGCTTAATCGACTGAGCCACCCAGGCTACCTCTGCCCCACTCACTTTTGTGGGTCTGAGGGCTTCTTTGGGGTTGCTTACCCTGGATACCAAAATATACGACTTTAGCCTGCATGGTTGTATCTGTAAGCATTTATCACTACCTTACATGGTCTTTGCTGGACTCTGTGCAAAAACCGTGGAGAACTGGAAAACTTTCATAGACCTGATAGGGGCTGGACTTTTGTTGTGGGAGTTAATGCACTCAAGCAGCTTGATCCTTAAGCAAGGATTTCATGTCAGAAATGTGTGTGTGTGTGTGTGTGTGTGTGTGTGTGTGTGTGTGTGTGTGTGTAGGGCATCTCTGGTCTGCTAGGTAGGTCCCCACAGATGAGAAACAAAATGCCCATGATTGTGAAGATGCAGTTGTTGTAACATAAACACTTTGCAATGGAAGTGTTCTGCTCTGAAAGTAGGTCACCCTCTCTGTAAACCGGTGGGTGACACCCCCTTCTCCCTGAAGAAGGTTAGAATGAAAAGGGAAAGGAATGTCTGTGATTCTAAACTCTAAGAGGTGATAAAAATACTTTAAAAATATAATAGGGGCACCTGGGTGGCTCAGTTAGTTAAGTGTCCGACTCTTGATTTCTGCTCAGGTCATGATCTCACAGTTTCATGAGTTTGAGTCCCACACTGGGATTCTCTCTCTCCTTCTCTCTCTGTTCTTTCCCTGCTTATGCTCTCTCTGTCTCTTTCAAAATAAATAAATAAACTTTAAAAATATAAATATAATAAACTCTGAGGGTGCTTATACAGTACACAAGTCGACAGAGATGTTTTCCATTGAAGAGGAGTATTCGTGGTTGGAAGGGAGGGTGTCTGGACTGCTCTGGGGAGGGGGCTGCGATGTGCTTGTCCATTCCTTTGAGGTGGGGGTGGCAAGCTCACTGGGCAGAGGGGTGTGGGGGGAATTTTGCATCCTAGACACACAGTGCTCTCCGTACCTAAGCGTAGTATTTGCACAAACAGAATAGTACTCTTAATATACTCGTTTTTATTTTTCCTTTGTAAAATTACAAAATGATGTTCACTGTAACCAGTTAACATATCAGAGATAATGTAAAGAAAAAGTGTATTTCCCTCCCCATCCTGAGGTGTCCATTGTGAAAACCTGCCATCCTTTTCTACCACCTTCCCCGTGTTCATGTATGTAAATTTATGATTGTCGAAATGCTTCCTTGTTTTTATAAAAATGGGGACAGAGTTCATACTCTATTCCATGGTTTGTATTTCTCACTTACCAATAAGTTATAGATATTCCTCAAGGTCAGTGCTTTAAACTTGTGCTTAAAAAAATGTTTCTTTATTTATTTTGAGAAAGGGAGAGAGAGAACAAACGTGCAAGCTCACAAAAGCAGGAAAGGGGCAGAGAGAGAAGGAGTGAGAGAATCCCAGGCAGGCTCCACACTGCCAGTGCAGAGCTCCACACGCGGCTTCAACTCAGGAACCGTGAACTCACACACCATGAGATCATGACTTGAGCCAAAATCAAGAGTCAGATTGTTCAACCAACTGAGCCACCTGAGCCTGTGCTTTTAAACTGGTATTGCATAATATGAATGTACCATAATTCATGTACATTTGTCTTCTCGCATCCTTTTACTCTCTTCTGTAAGAGTAATTGTATTCCTTTTCTCATTCCTAAAATCTGTGTTTTTTTCATTTTTTCTTTTCTTCTTATTTTTAATGTTTATTTATTTCTGAGAGAGAGAGAGAGAGAGAGAGAGAGAGAGCATGAGCAGGGGAGGGGCAGAGAGAGAAGGAGGCACAGAATCTGAAGCAGGTTCCAGGCTCTGAACTGTCAGCAGAGAGCCCGATGTGGGGCTTGAACCCACAAACTGCAAGATCATGACCTGAGCCAAAGTCAGATACTTAACTGACTGAGTCATCCAGGCGCCCCCCCTTTTTTCTTTTCTTAATCAGACTGCTAGGTGTGTATGTGTTTTATTTATCTCTTAAAGGATCAGCTGTTATTTTTATTTTAAATATTTTATTTTTAAGTAACCTCTACACCCAACGTGGGGCTCAAACTCACAACCCCAAGATTAAGAGTTACACATTCCACTGACAGGGCCAGCCAAACTCCCCTTAAAGGATTAGCTCTTATTCTCTGTGTTCTTTCTCTTCTTAATTTTTTCTTTTATTAATTTCATATTTCCTTTTATTAAATACCTCTTCCTACCATTTTCTTATTTACATTGATCTTTTTATCATGTCCTACAGTAAGTATTTTATTTTTTCTGCCCTTTTTAACTAATAGAGATATTTAGGGTTATACTTTTGTTTTCTTTTGAATACAGGATTAGTGTGCCTCTCGAGTTTTAGGATACAATATTCTCCTTTTCATTACTTTCTAGATCACTTGAAGTTTCTTTACTTACTTATTTATCTTGCAGTCTTACACCATTATTTGACTATCAGCCATTAGTTCCCATCCACATTAACAATCTGTAGATTTTTCAAAGTAGTGACAGGTCATAGGTAACCAGTGTGTAGAGCTTGTTTGGTGAGCCTTTATCCTCATTACATTTTCTGGAAAACTGCACAGGGGTATGGTACAGAACATTCCTTATTCCTTTGGCCCAGACAGCTTTGTTGAGCCTGGGGTCAATGTGCACATCTGGAGTTCCCAACTCCTTCATAGCAAATTTCTCAATCTCTTTGAGTGCCCAAGGGGCATGCTTCTTGTAACCCACTCCATGGATGTGCTCATGAATGTTGTTGGTGTATTCTCCGGCCACTACCTCGTTGATGGCAGAACGGCCCTTCTTCTTGCCAACCTTCTTTGCGGGAGCCATTCTGTCGGGCCCTGGCTGAAAAGGAAGTGCACGAGGTATTGTGGGAGAGGGCTAGATCATTTGAAATTTAAAAACCTCATCATTTTGCCAGCATGGCTCAAATTTATTTCCACCGTATGTTTTCCCCTTGCTGATTTGGAAGTTCTACTGTGCTTTCTGTTCTGAGAAGAGTTATAGCCCACCCTTAGAAAAGCCATAACTGCACTTTTCCTGGAGTTCCCAATAGAGCAGCATTGCTTACTATGTTCCTCTACCTATCAAACATGAAATCTCTATGACACTTTTACTTACTCACATTCCATAAATACCCTTACCTCTCACCCTCAAGCTCTTAGATTTTGAGAGGACGGTTTAATTTGGGGCTGTTGTTGGTTTCCTTCGTAGTAAGTCTTCTTGGTTTTAAGAATCCTTACTTACAAGTTACACTGCAAATTTCCAGTGACAATACCATCATCTATTTAGCATTAGCAAAGTATTTGATGAAATTCATGGCTAATTACTGTCTCCTCTTTTTCAGTAGCTAATAATACTACAGTAAAAAAGATAAGGCCAATAGCTAGTATCTCTATAACTCTATGCCAGACACTCTTTTAAGACCTCACATAAATTATCTCATTTAACCCTCACCGTAACTTTTTTTTTTTTGAGTCTATTTATTTTGAAACAGCGCAAGTAGGAGAGGGGCAGAGAGAGAGGGAGAGAGAGAGAAACCCAAGCAGGCTACACGCTGTCAATGTGGAGACCAATGTGGAGCTCCAACTCACAAACGGTGAGATCACAACCTGAGCCAAAACCAAGAGCTGGATGCTCAACCAACTGAGCCCCCCAGGTGCCCCCTCACAATACTGTTATTATTTGTGATTCACAGGTGAGAAAATGAAGCACAGAGAGCTTAAAATACTTTCCCAAGTCACACAAACAGGCATGGGAGCCACAGCATTTGGCGCTGATCTGGTTTCACAGTCCATTCTCCTAACCACCATGTCCTTTGACATGGCCTCCACAGGCTTCTCCTTTACGTTTTGTTCCTGGCATCTTTGGGCTGAAAAGTTATTTTAGCTATGAACCAGAGAGAGGGGCTCTACTGGAGCCACTGGAGACAAAAGGTAGTCTTTACTGCATGGCCCACTTCATGGAAGCAAATTCTGTTTACCAGCTAGAAAAGGAAAATGGTGGGTCTGGAAGCTCCAGATGCAAATGGTTGCATTCCAGTTCTGGTGTCACCCTCTGCACGTGCAAGGCGTCAGACACCTGGGAAGGTGATGATCACCACTGCACTATTACCATTTGTTTTTTAAATGTTGATATATCTGGCCATGCAGAGTCCTGTTGACCTGGCCAGATATTAACAGGATAGCAGCGTCATTATGCCTGTCACACTCTTGGTATTTAGTCAAGAGTAAGTTTGAGTCATGAGGTGATGTCTCTCTCTTTCATCTCTGTCTCTCAAGGACGACTTTCTTTCTGCTACATTTATTGGGCTCCCCACCCCCTAGCCAAATATGGACAGAAATGCCTAGTGTAAGTTTGGGGAACAGTGACAATGATGCTCTGTCTAGTAGCAAAATGAGCTGATCTCAGGGAAGAATGGGGCCTCCTTCCTGAGCTCCTCTCCAGGACAGAAGTTATATCGCCCTTCTGGTCTTTACCTAAAAGAGCTGGAAATTAATGTTACCTGTTTCCCAGAACATTTTTCATGCAGTCAACATATCACAAAATATCAGTTGAATGCTTGTAACATAGTTAGCAAATGTAAGGGCTTTGAAGAGGTGTGATCAGCATAAACATTTTTGTTTTTTAGGATGTTTGCATTCTTGGTGGCTTGGGATAAGGGACAAACTTACATGCATGAACTAAGAATAGACTAGTGACCCAGATAATTAATTGCATAGCTTACTGGCAGTAAGCATAATATTTATTCAGAAAAGGGGATGAGGAAAGGCTTCATGGAGAAGGAGGAACTTGACTGAGGCCTGAGCAGAATTAGTTTCCTGAGAGAACAATGGGAGCAGAGCATAGCAATGACCATGACCCACTGGCCTGGGGAAGGGGAAGGATTGAACCTGATGGAGAGGAGGGGGCTGAGGAATTATGAAAAGTGAGGTGGGTGTTATTTTCGAATATTTCTTTGAAATTGAGTTATATATATTAATGTTTTATTATTTATTTTTGAGAGTGAGAGAGACAGAACATGAGCAGGGAAGGGGCAGAGAGAGAGGGAGACACAGACTCTAAAGCAGGCTCCAGGCTCTGAGCTGTTAGCACAGAGCCCTATGCAGGGCTCTAACTCACGAACCACGAGATCATGACCTGAGCTGAAGTCGGGTGCTTAACTGACTGAGCCACCCAGGTGCCCCTTAAATATTTTTAAAAAGATAAAATCATGACTTTCAGGCAAATATAAAATATACATGGGCCAAAGATTTTTATTTAGCTCATTAATTAATGGAGGAGTCAGTAAGATGTTAAGAGCAGTTGAGAAGCTGCGTATTGATTACATAGTTCCTGGTGAAGCAATTTCATAAATAAATGTAAGGATAAGATTGCCGATATAAAATTGGTTAACGTCTTACAGGACAACAAACTGAATCTTTTGGGTTGTCTGTTCCACTGGACTGAAGTTATTTGTATCTCTGCTAGGAAAAAAAAATCTATAAATTGACAGTAACTTCATAAAATCTGGGCCATTTAACACATTGAATCAATACTAAACAAGGAGTGGAACTAAGTACATTCACCTGGCCAGGCCTTGGGTAGCCTTTGTTCCATGCGACATTGAAAGGATGTGCTGCCCACTTTTTTTTCTTATTCTAAGTTTCAGGATAAAAAATTTTTTTTTAATAATAGTGGCCTACAAAGAAGTGGGGAAAAATGGGGTGTGTGTCAGTGCCTTTCTAAGGCTCTGAGAGGGGACCCCCAGTGCTCTTGAGTAACTCAGACAGAGAAGTCGAGAGTGCTCTTTGGCCCAGAGTCCCAACTCCTTCCTGCCGTTGATGTTCTCACCTTAGTTACTACTGGCTGGTGTTTGTGCTCCCCTCTGGATGATGGTAGAGATGTAGATGAGAAGAGATGGGGCCCGAGGCAGGGGTCATGGCCAGGAAGGACTCACCAACCACCATGCTGGTTCCCAGGTGCTGAGCCCTGATGAGGGTGAGTGCAGCCCTCAGCGCTGGGCAGGCCTTACCCGTGGGTTCCGGATTCTCTGTTCTCCTGCCAACTCTTCCCACCTCACTCGCCTGTCAGTGTGTTGCAGGGGCCATGTACATCACTGGCTTTGCTGAGTCCATCTCTGATTTGCTGAGCCTCAGGAGCATCTGGGCCGTGCGAGGAATTTCGGTTGTGGTGCTTCTGGCCTTGCTGGGGATTAACCTGGCAGGTGTCAAATGGATAATCCGCCTCCAGCTGCTGCTGCTGTTCCTGCTGGCCGTGTCCACACTGGACTTCGTGGTGGGCTCTTTCACACACCTGGACCCAGGTAAGCCTTTTGGAGTGAGTAGATGGCCTTCTAGGGGTCTGCATTGCTTTCTAGATGTTTGTAGGCGTGAGTTTCCAAGACTACCTCCCAAGAAGCTTTACGTACCACGAGGGTGCTGGTCCTGGAGCATGTGGGTGGGTCTGTCTTGGCTGCAGAGGCCCCAAAGCCCTCCTCACATAGGTATTTTACCTTTGCGTGTTTTTCACATTCCTTTTTATTTTCTTTCTGTTAAAAAAAAACAATAGGACTGTTTAAAACAAAGAATAAAGTAGAACTGGACTAGATAAAGATCAAATTCATTAACAGTGATTAAGAGTGTGGGCAGGAAATAGATCTGAAAGCAGATAAGAAGATAGATTTTAATTTTTTTTATCTCTTTTGTTTTACTTATTTAATTTTATTTTATTTTAGATACAGAGAGAGAGAGCAGGCACACATGTGTGCCGGGGAGGCTGGGGAGCAGGAGAGGGAGAGAGAAGGAGAGAGAGAATCTCAAGTAAGCTTCATGCCCAGCATGGACGCCAATGCAGGGCTCGAGCCCACAGCTGTAAGATCATGACCTGAGCCGAAGAAATCTAGAGTCGGATGCTTAACCAACTGAGCCACCCAGGCGCCCCTCTTTTGTGTTAAAAGGACATGATGCTAACAAATATTAGCAATTGTCATTTGTGGGAGATGGGGACAGATATAGATAGATCGCCTATAGTTTTTTTTAATAGTAAATTTTCTTTCAAAATAAAAACATGAGTTCATTAACTAAGCTTAAAGAAGGAGAATAAACAGCAGGTGTACTCTGCCCCATTTGGAAATGGTGTCACATATTGGTAACGAATGGACCGCTGTTGAACCCTGGGTTTTCCTGGGCCAGGAGGATGCTTGGCAACTCTAATCCTCAATCCTGATGCTTTGAGTGGGATGCTGTTACCCACGGTGTCTGTAACGATATGGCTTTGTGATCTGGGTCGGTTTGGCATCAGAAATCTTTGTTCCTCTGCAGAGTACAGGGCTCTTTGTGGGTGCCTTAGAAAAAGGATAGCTGCCTGATATTTCACACTTCAGGGACCCTGGCTTTTTATGGCAACAGTGGCCAGGCATCTACATTGGAATCTGGACAGGGAAAGGGAAATGGGGCCATCCTCTGTGTTAGAAAAGAGAAGGAAAGAAAAGGACCTGTCACAGAGGCACCTGGCATGGTGAAAATGCCTCCTTTGTGCCAGGGCTTGTGCTTGGCACTGCATGTGACTTATCTCATGGAATCCTTATCATAACCCATGAGGGAAGAACGGTTATGCCCATTTTACAGATGGGGAACTGAGGATTGTATCACTCATGGTGATGCGTGGCAGAGCTGGGAGTGAAACTGGATCTATTCACATATGCAGCTGCGCTGTTTCCTAGGTAGGAAGTGATGTCTATCTTTACACCACTGGGTGCCTTTTGGTGGTGGTAGCTCTACTTTCCCCTACGAAGGCTGCCTTGACGTGTGTTCTAAACAATCTTGTCTTTCATAAAGATGTTGGTTGCAGAAGTTCAGAATTCAGCTGGTACACGCTACTCTGGCCTTATTTCTTTTTTATATGTTCAAATTCTTCTGTTGGAAAATAGTCACTCCCCTGAGCTCCCTGAGTGCCCCCTGCACTCTGACATCCTGATTCCTTCCCCAGAACCTCCAGACTGCCCATGACCCAGCCTCTAAAGGGTTAACTGCAGTGCGGGAGGGCTGCCCCAGGACCCACTCCAATGCTAAGAGCCAATGCAGTGTCCAAACCGATCACTTGGCGCCTGGGCCTTGCAGCTTACTAAACACTTGGAGCCTCTCCATTGCAGGGGAGGAATGATTTGTTTCCTGGCCTTGGACCAACTGCAGAGACAAGCCCACATCCGGAGGGAGACCTGCTGGCTGCTTGGCCGGAAAACCAACTGTTGGTGGGGGCGAGGGAGTCCACTCCAGTCTCCCATTCCTGGGTGCTCTCTTCCTCCATCGGCATGGTTGCTGAAAGAGCATAATTAATTAAATTGCAGGGTGATGCTACTAGCCTCTTTGAAACCTCAGAGATGTGTTTTCCTTCTCCTCGATTAGAAGCTATCTTGGCTGTTCTTCTCTTACTCCAAGTATTTCTCCTTCTTTCTGGTCAGTACATTAGCAGGGTGTAGTGTGAAGTGAAATTTATTTTCAATCATTTCCATGGCAACTGGCCCCTTTCAAATCTGTTTTTGGTATCACTGATGTTTTATATGGGCTACTTTCTTTGCAGTTAAAAATCCAAACTAAAGCTAGATCATAAACCTTCAGAATGGATTTAGCAGAATGATTTCAGCCCTTTGGAAAAACAACATGCACACAGACATTTGAAAAAAGGCTGGAAAAAGGACTGGAAGGAACCATACCTAAGTGCCAGCAGTGACTGTCTTTCTGCTGAGGTGTATGGGCGGCTACATTATTTTATTTCTCTTTTTCCATCGATTGGTTAGTGCTACTTAAAAAATTAATAGACTGTATTTTAGAAAAGATTATTTATTTATTGTGAGAGGTGGGGGGCAGAGAGAGAAAGGGAGAGAGAGAATCCCAAGCAAGTTCCACACTGTTAGCACAGAGCCCATCACGGGGCTCGATCTCATGAACTGTGAGATCATAACCTGAGTCAAAACCAAGAGTTGGCTAGGTAGTTAACTAACTGAGTCACCCAGGTGCCCCTAATAGACTGAATCTTTTAGAGCAGTTTTAGGTTTATGGAAAATTGAGCAGATGGTCCAGAGGTCCCCATATCTTTTCCCTCTCCTTTCCCCACCAATTCTCCCTCTTATCAATATCTCGCATTGCTGCGGCATGCTCATTACAAATGATGAGCCAATGTCTATACCTTATTAGTACCTGAAGTCCATGGTTTAGAGTAGGATTCACCCTTCGTGTTGTGCAGTTCTGTGAGCTCTTATAATAATAATGTGTATCCACCATTACAGTGTCCTACAGAATGGTTTTAATGTGTCAGAAATTCCTGTGTCCACTTGTTCATACCTCCTTCCTCCCACCCTTGAATTCTCGACAGCCACTGATCGTATTCTCTCCCTCTCTTGTTTTGCCTTTCCTAGAGCTGGAATCATGCAGTATCTAGCATTATGAGACTTGCTTCTTCCACTAAGCAAAAATGCATTCAAGGTCTGTGCCTTTTTGTGACGCACTAGTTCATTTCTTTTTGTCACTGAATAGTATTTCATTGTGTAGATGCAACTCAGTTTTTTTTTAATCCATTCACCTAATTAAAGGACATTTCGGTGGCTTCCAGCTTTTGGTAATTATGAATAAAATGTAAACATTTGTGTGCTAGTTTTGTGAAGATACAACTTTTTGCCCCATTTGAATAAATACCTAGGCGCATGATTGCTGAGGCATACAGTAAGACTGTTTACCTCTAAGAAACTGCCAAAATGCCTTCCAAGATTGCAGTGCCGTTTGTATTCCCACCAGCAGCTAGCGGAGTTGCTGTTGCTCCACATCGTCACCAGTGTTTGGTGGTGTCCGTTTTTTGGATGTTAAACACTCTGATAAGTATCTCTCTAATAGTTGTATCAAGCATGAGATTCATTAATCACATGTGATATTAAGTATCTTCTCATCTGTTTATTTGATATCTGTGTATCATCTTTGGTGAGGTGTCCGTTCAGATCTTTTGACCATTTTTTAATCTGGTTGTTTTCTTATTGCTGAACCTAAAGAATTCTGGATATATTTTATACACAAACCCTTTATCACATATAGGTATTGTAAATATTTTCTCCGAGTCTGTGGCTGGTCTTTTTATTCTTAAAATAACATTTTTAAATGTTTATTTTTTAGAGACAGAGAGACAGAGCACAAGCTGGAGGAGGGGCAGAGAGAGAAGGAGACACAGACTCTGAAGCAGGTTCCAGGCTCTGAGCTGTCAGTGCAGAGCCATACTCGGGGCTTGAACTCATGAGCTGTGAGATCGTGACCAGAGCCGAAGTCAGATGCTTAACTGACTGAGCCCAGAACTTTCCTTATATATATAATTCTATATTGAAAGATATAGAAATCTATATTGATAGTATTTTTACATTTAATACTTGGGGCGCCTGGGTGGCTCAGCTGGTTAAGCATCCAATTTTGGCTCAGGTCATGATCTCACGGTTCGTGGGTTCAAGCCCTGCATTGGGCTCTGTGCTAACAGCCATCTCAGAGCCTGGAGCCTGTTTCAGATTCTGTGTCTGCCTCTCTCTCTGACCCTCCCCTGCTCACGCTGTCTCTCTCTCTCAGAAATAAATTTTTTAAAAACTTACATTTAATACTTTATTTTTTAAAAGTTTTTATTAATAGATATATATAATTCTATATTGATAGTCTTTTACCATTTAATACTTATTTTTTTTTTTTTACTTTTTTATTAATTTATTTTGAGAGAGAGAGCAGGGGAGGGGCAGAGACAGAGGAACAGAGAGAATCCCAAGCAGGCTCAGCGCTGTCAGCTCGGAACCTCACGTGGGGCTCGAACTCACAAACTGTGAGATCATGACCTGAGCCAAAATCAAGAGTTGGACGCTTAACCGACTCAGCCACCCAGGTGCCCTATCTTTTTATTCTTTTAACAATGTCTTTTTCAGAGCAGAAGATTTTAATGGTAATGAAGTCTAACATCAATATCGTTCTTTCATGGACCATGCTTAAAAAGCTCATTATTAAATGAAAGGTCATGTAGATTGTCTATCTTCTCTTCTAGACATTTTAGAGTTTTGTGTTTTACATTTAAGTCTGTAATCCCTTTGGAGTCAGTTTTGTGGAAGGTGGAAGGTCAATGTCCAGATTTGTCTTTGCATGTGCGTGCCCTGGTGTTGCACCATTTTTTAAAAGACCACACTGCCTTTGCTCCTTTGTCAGAGATCCGTTGACTATCTCTGCATGTCTGTTTCTGGGCTCCCTGCTCTGTTCTAGTGCTCTTAGCTTCTTCTCCGATACCATCCTGGCTTGGTTAGTGCTGCTTTCTAGG